GAACTGGACTGAAGCTGTGAGGGATTCATTAATAGGCCAGGCTCCTGTCCTGGTCCTTAAGCTCCAGCCCAGGTCGGGGAGGGGGATACTGTCTGTAAGTTCAGTCTGGAATTCTCCATGCCTTTATAGAGCAAAGGAGGAGCATCCAACATGGACCCTGGAAGAACTAGGTCAGAGGCCAATAGAGGCTGCTTCGTATGTCAGGCTGGAAGGTTGCAGTAGAATTGGGGTACAGGGGCATGGTTTCAAGAGCCAGCCCAGATGAGAATTAACGTGAACAGCCTCTCTCCTAGGACACTTTGTACCCAGAAGCAATGACTGTTGAAGTAATTAATAGCTCAGCAACCAAGGATAGTCTTTTGGGGTTAGGCGTGGCTCCTAAAAGGGGCTGCGATAGGCAGGGTGGAGCAATAAGGTTTATGTGGCTGAACCCCCTTTGGGGCCCATCAAACCCCAGTGTCAAGGCTTCTCTGCTTCCAAGCCCAAGCAACCTCCCCTCCACCATTTTTCTCTCTGCTACAGGGGAAATCAGGCCTCCCACGAAGGGCACAAAACTCTGAGGACGCGAGTATCTTAGCAGGCCTTCTTTTGTCAGCCAAAAATGGACAAGTAGACATTTGTCTTAATGCTAAGAAATTTTAACACACAAACAGTCTAGAAAGCATGTTTTAAATGAAGAGAGAGGGGAGGAAGGAAGGAATTAAGGAAGGAAGGAAGGAAGGAAGGAAGGAAGGAAGGAAGGAAGGAAGGAAGGAAAATTTGCTCAATTACACAGAAAATTAATAAGTTGATCTTAATTGATTTGTTTAGATGTCAACCTTTAGAAGGCAATCTGTATATGTAGAAACAGTATGTACATTTGGTAACTTTGAACACATGTTTACCACTCATGGAAGTTGACAACTGTTTTGGCACAATGATATGCACTCAGTTTGAGGTCCAGGCAGCTTTGTCTATCTGGTGTGTGACCTTGGTCACTTGGTATCTTGCTGGGGTGTGTGTGTGTGACAGTTCCAGCACCCCCCCTCCCCCATCTTGTCTGCTTGCCTCTCAGGCACCAATCTCTTGGATTCCTAGTTCGTACTGGGGCTCTGATGGCTTTGTTAGCCCTTGGGAAGTCCTCTTGGCTGACTGGGCCCAGTTTCCTTTAGCTCTCAACTCTCTTTGGCTTCTTAATTTCAACATCACTTCATCCCTTGGGATCCTGTCGACTGGGCCCACCCCTGAAGACAGATTCTCTGCAGCTGACCTCAGCTTCCTTCCTTCCCTCCTTCCATGTAAAATGATATGGTTGGACTGGACCAGCTCCAAATCCCTTCCTGCTCTAACTACCCCATGAGTCTAACGAAGGTGCCATTGAGATGTTTGGGCAGGGGCTCTCCCTGAAACCACGGAGACAGGAGCGTGGTGACTCCACATGCTGTGTCTACACCGCTTCTCTCCTGTAAGAAGTGGTGGGATGCTTTCTGGGTAAAGTTAGAAAGCCAAAGGAGCCAGACAGGGAGCCATGGAAAATAAAGACAGGACAGAAGGCAAGTATTTAAGGACCAACTTGCCATCAGAGGGCATGCCCAGCAGACTTAGGGCTGTTTGCACAGTGGATTTGTCATCCTGTTCTCTCAGGCTTACAAGCAACTCATTGTTCTCAGAAGACAGCAGCTGCTTCTGGAGAGCTTTCAGCATTTGGGTGTGACAACCTAGGGAAGCTAGTTTTTAGCATTAGGCACAGGCCTTCCTCTCACAAAGAAGCGGGAAATCATTCTGGGCAGGGTATCAGTTTTCCGTTGCTGCTGAAACAAATCACTATAAATTTAGCAGCTTCAAACAACACAATTTGTTATCATTGTTCTGTAGGTCAGCAGTCCAACATGGGTCTCCAAATGGCCACAGGGTGATGTTTCTTTCTGGAGACTGTAGGGGAGGATCTATTTTCTTGTTCATGAAGTTGGCAGAACTCAGCTCCAGGAGGGTGTAGGACTGGTCTGCATTTCCTTGCTGGCAGTTGGCTGGAGCTGCCCTTAGCCACTGCAGGCCTCCCTCTGGTTCCTGTGCACAGCCCCCTACATCTCAGAACCAGCACAGGACTCCTAACAGAGACCATCTTTCTGACTTTTTTTCCATTGTCACATCTCTCCCTCTGGCCACAGCTGGGAAAGTTTCTCCACTTTTTTTTTTTAATTGGAGAACAGTGTGTTTTTCCAGGACCCATCAGCTCCAAGTCAAGTAGTTGTTTCAATCTAGTTGTGGAGAGCGTGGGGATCCAACCAGCAACCTTGGTGTTATGGTTCTTCACTTTTAGGGTTCATGTAATTAGGTTGGGCCCACCTGGAAAACCCAGGATAATCTCTCCATCTCAAAGTCCTTAGTCACATCTGTAAAGTTCTTTTTTGCCATGTGAGGTAACATGCATAAATTCTGGGGATTAGGGTGTGGATATCTTTTTGGAGCCAATATTCTGCCTCCCACTGTCAAGGTTAGGCTACAGGGCTTGCTGACCCTCCGTTAGATGTTACAATGGGACAGTAAACCTTCATCAGGTGACTCAGACCTCCTGAGAGACAGAGTTATGTGAACTGCAGAAAGCCAGTGCCAGCTGGGCTGTGCAAAGTGAGACTTGAATGCCTCTCTCCCAGGGACTTTATGGCCAAACCATCGGATTCACTGAGTAATTAATGCTCACATGGCTTTGTGAAATGCAATTATGTAGGCTAGCTCATAAAGCGTTTCTTTTCTTTCTTTCTTTCTTTCTTTCTTTTTTTTTTTATAAGACCTGACACAAATGGGACCCACTCAGCCTGCTTTTCCTGTTCTAGCTTTGCTGGGCATAGTCAGGGCTCTTCTGGAACTTCACCTACTGCCAACTCCCCATCCCCCTCCCACCAGTGTGGTTTGGTCCCTTTTAGCCTCTGACCTATAAGCTGAACCCACAAAATAAGTGTTGACTCAAACTGAAGTCCTGCTCTGCATCCACACTTGCTGCTCCCTGCATGCAAGGCCCACCCCTTCCACTTCCCCCAAGGGCCTGGCAATACCTCCTCCATGTCCGTCTAGCCCCCCTGCTCAAAGTGCACGTGAGGACATCATCTGAGAACTGTGGGAAATGCAGAATCTCAGGCCCTATCCCAGATCTACTGAAGCCGAATCTGCTTTTTAATTCCATGCCAAGGGATCATAAGCACTTTAAAGCTTGAGCAGCACTGGGTGAGGGCCTGCTGGAGGGCTCCTCCTCCATGAAGCCCTTCCTGATTGCCCTAGATCCAACTAAATAAGCTTGTCCCATAGCTCCCATTGTGCCCCATTTGGACTTTTTCATACGAAGGGAGTATAACTAGATGTTTAAAGGGACGTTTCCTGTTATTTAGAAGTTTCAGCAGAGGCCTCAAAGACAGAGAACAAAATAGTCGGTGCCAAAAAGGCCCGCATCCACACCAGGTGCTAAGAGACCCCATGCTGGAAAAACTCAGGGAATGTGAAACTTCCTCTGTCAGCATTAGCTCTTCCCCACTTCCAGCCTATGAAAGATAGGTCGGGAGATTTTCTATGGACACCATTGACTGAAGGCCTGTGTTCCCAGCAGCCCCAGCGCCCTTCTGTGGGGGAGGGGAGGCAGGTGCTTCCCTCACAGCTTAAGGTAAGTAAAAAGAGCTTCGAGAGGGAGCTTTCCTTGTACCTTTAAATGTTTGGGGAAACACAAAGGCTGGTCCGAGAGGACAGAGCTGCACTGGGCCACTGCTGCCCTGCCTCAGAGAGCAGTGAGGCAAAGGTGCATGGTTCCCGTAGACCAGATGTGGGTTACAAGGTGAGGAGACTGCCTGGAGCCTCCTTGAAAGGGACCCCACCCAGGAGGGCTGATCTGGGATTGGGAGGAGGCAGGCAGAGAGACCCAGCAGAGAGATGGACCACTGGCAAACCGGAGGCTGAAGGGCTGCTGCAATCCCCCCACCCCACGCCCCCAACATACACATACCCCCACCGCAGACTGAAAACTGTAGTTGGGATAGATAAGGTTGCCAGATTTAACAAATAAAAATACAAATGGCCATTTAAATTTGAATTTCAGATAAGCAATTGTTGAGTTTTTAATATGTCACATGCAATATTTGCGATATACTTAAACATTATTTATTGTTTATCTGAGCTTCACATTTAGCTGGGCATTCTGTATTTTAGCTGGCAACCTGAAGCTGGAAGCTTGGCAGCAGGAACTCTTGTGGCTTCTCCAAGAAATCCACAGAAGGGCCCCAAATAAAGGCTAGCTATTGAACCCCAAAGTCAGGTCACTCTTGAAACAGTCAAAGAACGCCCTTTCTGCTCCTTTCTCTGTGTTCCTTTCCCTTTCCTTCCTTCCCCCATCTGTCTTCAACAGCTCTGGCTAGTGGGTGGGAGATAGGAGAGGGGGAGTGCCTGGAGGAGATGACCACACCTACACCTTCCACCACTGCAGCCTTCCGAGCTGGAGGAGGGAAACATTACAAAGGAAACTGTGCCGTCTGATTATTACCTGGACCAATCTACTGAACAACAACTGTTCTTGTGACTTAGGGGGACCAATATGTGATATCTGACTAAGATGGCATGCAGGGATGGGGAAAGAGGCAAACCCTGGAGCCAGGTTGGAAAGATAGTTTTGGTCTTGTTTTCATATCCATCTCTCTCACTAGTGTCCTGTTGTTCATTTCTGTCCCCAATGCCTGGTGTTATATAGTAGATGCTCAGTAAATGTTTAAATGTTGAATAATGAAAGCTTCAGTGTATCTACCCATTTTTTTTCACCTACAGAACCTTTGAAGAGAGAGTTTTCTGGCATGTATAACCCCTCCCAAAGGTACTTTGGCTGTAGTAAGATTTTTGTTACAAAACATGTCAGGTATGATGATGGACCTAAGCTAAACTGGATTTGGAATCTTCTCTAGAACATTTAAATTACAAATTTTAAAAAGCTAACAAATACCACACACGACATAATTCCAGAAAAATCATAACATTTAGGTGGTTAACTATTAAACACATTGCTATAATACATTTATTTTAAGAAAACATTTTTTTGGCTATATTTTTTCCCCACATTGTTTACTCAATTTCCTTGTGGTAATGGGCTATTGTGAGTCTGTTGTCCTTGTTGATGTCCGCATTTTGTAGTCAAAATCATCAAGACTGCAAATCTTTTTCAATATATGCATGTGATTCACTCTTGTTCATTAAATTGGGATGGTCAAACAACCGATTTATGCTCAAACTGTATTTCTTCCTCTTAATGAAATACTGCTTTTGGCATGACCTGATTCTTATAATCTTTCTCCCTTAACATTTTCATTATTTGTATTTTCTTAGTTGTGATTCTTTTATGTGATTCTTTTCCTTAACTTCATGCTTTAGTCCATCAGACGTTTTAGCTTCTGTGGAGATAGAATAAGAGAGTACTTGACATTTTGAAGCTTCTTCTAGTCTTTTTTCTTTCAGGTTTTGTCTTGGGCTTCAACTGAAATGTTTCTCTTAAGCCATTTGAATTTCATATAATCAATTATTCTGAAAAAATATACAAAATTAATCAGAAATAAAAGCATACTCAAGAGCAATTCAAATGCACTTAAAAATTGCTGAAATGTTGTGTTGAGTTCCACATTGTATACGCAAATTACTCTTCTGCCACACAGAGTGATCTATGTGTAAGGGTTTGGCTACTGTGAAATACATTTTCTTCTTTTCCTTCCTTTCTGTATCTGTGGTAATTTGGTGCACAGTTTCATCTGGAACCATCCGGCTTCATCATAACAGGAGGATCAGAGATCTGGAGGATGACCTGCCCTGCTGGGACAATAAACTATGAAAGGTGTCACATGAGCAGTGGAATGGCCTTTCTTTGCAGAGAAAAGTGGACAAGCTATATAAAGTAGACAAGCACTGACTCCAAGTCTGATGTGAATTGGTCTAACTTTGTTGGAAAGCAGTATTATTGAAAGCCTTAAAAATACTTATATTCTCCTCAAACACACATACATTCCTAAACTTTGATCTACTAATTGGACTTTTGGGAATTAATCTTAAGGAAATACTCATAAAAATAAAAAAAGTGTTATGCACAAAGATGTTAACAATATATGCCCAACAAAAAACTATTTGAAATGACCTGCTGCAACAATAAATGATTCATTATCTAAATCATAAAATATAAACTTGATGGGTATTATTGCTATTTAAATTTTTTTTTAAAGATTTTATTGGGGAATTAGGGAAGGGAACAGTGTTGGGGAACTGGGGAAGGGGAACACTGTATTTTTCCAGAACCCATCAGCTCCAAGTCAAGACATTGTCCTTCATTCTTAGTTGTGGAGGGCACAGCTCAGCTCCAAGTCCAGTTGCCATTTTCAATTTAGTTGTGGGGGGTGCAGCCCACCATCCCATGCGGGAGTCGAACTGGCAACTTTGTTGTTAAGAGCACATGCTCTAACCAACTGAGCCACCCGGCTGGCCCAACTATTGAAATTTATAGAAGCTTTGTTATACGGTGCAAAATAGTTCTTACATAATGTTAAGCAAAAAAAAAAAAAAGCAAGATACAAAATTATATATGCATTTTTATTTTGGCAAGATTATAATAATCCCTATCCTCAGAAAAATCCTGGGATATACTGTAATACTCTATAAATGCGTATGTTATACATATAATGAACATTCTCCCATGTCAATAAATATGGATCCATGATATCATTTTTAATAATTGCATGGTATTCCATTGTATATATGAACAAAAATTTAATCAACTTCCCATTTTAAGATATTGAGATTGTTTCCAATCTTTGCCTGTGTTTTTTTTTTTAAGATTTTATTGGGGAATTGGGGGAGGGGAACAGCATTGGTGAATGGGGGAAGGGGAACAGACAAGTTGCTGTCCTTTTGTTCTTCAGTCTCGTTGTGGAGGACATCGCTTCACTGGCCCATGTTGGGATTATCATTGCGCTCTTCCCGGGTGAGGCAATCGGTCACCGGCTGCTGGACGGCTGCTCACGGCAGCTCATGCCAGCTCATGCCAGCTGCCGGCCACTCACACTGGCTGCCATCCACTCTCGGTAGCTCATGGCAGTGCACTGCAGCCTATGCCATCAGCGACTCATGGAAGCCCAGCTCCAGGTCAAACTGTTGTTCACCATCTTAGCTGTAGAGGGCAGTGTCACTGGCCCTCATGTGGGATCAGAACACTGGGGCCCTCTGGCGTCCCAAGCCAGCTCTTAACCAATGTGCCACATGGCCGGCCCATCTTTGCCTGTTTTAAATATATTGCAATGATCAACCTTGCACATTAATCTTTAGCCAGTTTTCTAATTATTTCCTCAGGATAAATTCCTAGAAGTGGAATTGCTGGGTCAAAGGCATTTTTAGGACTTTTGAAACTTATTGCTAAATGACCTCCCTGGGAGACTATAAATTTGCACTCCCACCAGCAGTGTATGAGTGTATGCTCTTTCCCTCATGTCTTTGCAACACCGACTCATTCATTTACTTTAAAATTGAGAAAATAACTTAAAGAGAATATGCCTGCAACAGATTAGAAACTTATTAAAGTTTTTATTATGCAATCCCAACTTGCTATAATGTTAACAGTGGCTAACATTTATTGTGCAATTACCAAGCCCAGACACTTTTGTAATCCTCTGGATAATTCTATGAGGTAGGCACCATCATCAGCCCACTTCACATGTGTGGAAAGTGAGGAACAGAGATGCTAACTAACCTGCTCAAGGTAACACATCACAAGGTAATGAAAGGATGAGCTACGATTTGAACCCAGGCCACAGTTTACACCAAGCTGCACAGTTTCTCTCTTGAAGATCCCTGCTGAGATGTTCGTAAGCACCCAGTGAAATCATTCAGTTCAGGACTCCCTGGAAATCCCTCTAGGTCATATCTCAGGATAGGTTTCAGTTTAGGCAGAGGTCTCAAAGAGAACCATTTAGAAAATACCAAACATCTGCCTCAGAGAGCGAGTTAGACCCTCTCTGCAGGACCTGCTAAGAGAGGAGAAAGCTGGCCTGCCAGTTCTAGCCCCCTGGTCACACCAGGCTGAAGAGTCAGGAGAAAAGGGTTGTTTTGGAGGGAGCTGGGTTGTATGATGTGCCCACTCCCTGGGTAAGGTGACTAATTCCTCCTGGTTTGCTTGAAACTGTCCCAGTTTTAGCACTGAAAGCTCTGTATCTGGGGAAATCTCGTAGTCTTGGGCAAACTGGGACAGTCGGGCACCATATCCCTGGGGGAAGGTTCTGGCACTTCCCTGTCACCTCAAGACAAGTAAGTGTGAGGGGGAAGAGGGTCCACTCTGGAGCTATAGGCCTGGGACACAGCTACCTCTTGTGCATCAGACACTCAGAGGACCCTGTGCCAGGTCACGCTGTGGTGCCTCCTCCCCCATCCTCTCTCCCAGTGGGTCTGCCCTCCGATGATCCAAAACCCTGTTGGTGAGTATGGGGACTGGGGGCTGCGCTGGGAGAGAAAAGAGGCCAATGACAGGGACCCCCACCCCACCCCATCCCTCCTTCTAAGCCTCAGCTTGTGGGAGGAGGGAGCAGAAACTAAAAAAATCTAACACAATTTAGAGGTTATTATTACACTGGCTGGGACATTGTAGGCATTGAAATAAGACATGAAAGAGCCCAGAAGCACGATGGGAAGGTCGGGAGATGGTCCCAGGGGATGGGGAAAGATGATTGCAGAGGGCAATCTGCTTTATGATTGCACGCTGCTGGGTCCGGCCCTTTCAATAACAGGGTTACATGGACTAGCCACTGTGGACCCCACCCAGTGCCCTGCTCTTCTCAGGCAGGGGTGGGTGCAACTGCAGCTGCTGCCAGTTCTGCTGCCTTAGGGGTAGGGGTGGGGGCTAAGAACCCAGGGTCTCCTCACTGCCTACTGTCCATAAGGCTGTGGCAGGAGCCTTCCCCGACCCCAGAGTCCACATCCCCAAATGGAGCACCTCAGCCCTCCAAACTGCCAGAGCTCATCCTTGCCCTCGCCCAAGCAGCTACAGGAATAAATGATAGCTTGTTATATATGCAAGATACTCTAATAACTTTTTTAATTATTATTTTTTACTGTGAAAGACACATTTTTTAGAATTAGTTTCAGCTGTACAATGCAGTGCAATAGTTATACTTTTTACCCCTCGAAGTGACAACGCCCCTCCCCCAATCCACCGCCCCACTCCCCCCCAATATCATACATATCTATTACAATTTCCTTGACTCCATTCCCCCACTATACTCCACGTCCCATGACTATATATATATATTCACTTATAGTTGACATTCTAATAACTTTTCAGGCATTGTTTTCCCTTGTGCCTATAATTTACCTGGGAGGTATAATCATCTCATTTTTCAGAGGCTCAGGGAGGTTAAGGAACTAGCTCGGCTATTAACTAGCAGAGGTGACTCGAAACCAGCTCCATCTCCATCTACAGTCCATGCCCCGTTCATGGTTCTGTTGGGCCTCCTTGCTCTTACCTGGAATGGACAGCTTCCTGCTGGCACCGCGGTGGTCTAGCTGTGTTTCCACGATTCCCACTTGAAACTTGGAATGTGCTTTTGCTTGGAAACAATATGATAAAGGGCTGCTTCGTCTCCACTATGGTTACTTATTAGTTAAGTTGCCCTTTGTGACCTGGCCTGGGGTTCTAACCACACTCGATCATATGATTTCCCTGGACAAAAAAAACACATCCTGAGTTCTAAATAGCAAATTCCAAACACAGTGTTAGAACACAGCTTATTTGTGAGTTAGGGAATGTCTGCCTGTAAGCTATTTTATTTTGTATGACAAGAAAAATAAGCTGGGCTCTTGGATTTTACTATTTGGGTTGTTGGTTCAAAATAACATAGAAGCCTTGGAGCTGCCCCACAGGCGTTCTTCTTCTAGGGCATCATTAATTTGAATCTTTAAATCTCTTTCAAGAGTTCATGAATATGGTTTGAAGAAAACGTCTAGTGTATTGAGTAAAGACTAGGTTAGGAATCAGGTGATGTGGTTCAGTCCTGCCCTTGCCCTTAACTAGCTGTGTGACCTTGGGTGAATCACTTTACCTCTCTAGGCATGTGCCTCTCCATCTGTAAAATAAGGGTTTATATTAGAGGATCCCCAAGTTCCCTCCCTGCTCTCAGGTTCTATGAAACACAAACAGCCTCAGGTGCAGAATTACAAATGAGGGAGGGGTCTGCTCCAAAATCTTGTTTCTTTCTTTTACTTCCCTTTGTAATTAAAAAAAAATCTCTGAATAGTAGTGTTCTCCTTAAGCCATGGCAGAAGAGCAAATGGGAAAGCCAGGTTCTTTTGTGTTAAATGGAGCATTTAATGATGGATAAGCAAAAAGATACGTGATGGGCCTTTTTCTCAGTTGGATGTTTGGCTAATAGATCAGTAGATCTTGGCATCTGAGTGACACCTGCATTGAAAAAGGCGGAACTTGGCTCTCCTGCCCTTCCAGCTGTGAGAGCTTGAAAGGGAAGCTATAGGGGAATGTCTTTCATTTCCCCCTGGAAGCTGGGAGAACGTTCAGTTTAGCATTGCCAACTGTGCAATGTGGGCTTGTGTCTAAATGAAGCCTTTTTCCTTGGACGTCTTTCAGGCCTCAGTATTCCCTTTGGCATCCCCACCCCCTTGGAACAAAGCCTAATGTAAAGTCTGGGTGCTACTCAGACCAGCCTGGGAAAGAATTCACTTAATAATGGCAGAAAGGCCTTGATATGTCTTCAGTGCCTTTTTTTTTTTTAAAGCTAGAATTTTATTTGTTTACGTGTTTGTTTTTACCTTATCTCTTTCAACTAAAATGGCTTGCAGCAAGCACACTTACAACAAAATGCTCCTGGGAAAACAAAAACAGAGGTAGAAATTAAGGCTCAGGAACACAGAAATAGAAAATCAAGATCAGGTAACAGAAGAATACAGATGTGTGCACTACGAAGGCCAAAGAGTTGTTAGAGCTGAAATTCAAATTTAGCTAGCAAAAATGTTACTAGTGTCAAAGCAAGAATGGGCTACACAGATAGTTGCACACTTCTTCAAGTTAGGGAAAGGGAAAGGGCTCCTGTTACTCAGAGGAATGTCCTCTTGTCCATTCATGTAATAAACACCTATTAAAGGCCCACATGTGCCAGTCACTCTTTGAGGTAATCAGAGAGGAAGGGCTGTACTCAGCCCTCAGGAGTTCAGCATCTAAGAGGGGGCTGGATGAGGAATACTTGTGTGCCCACTACGTGTCAGGTACTATGCATTTATTATGTACCTACTATGTGTCACACTGCATTTTTGCTCAGTAGTCATTATTACAAATGCTCGTTCAGGTAGACATTATTAGCTCCTTTTCACAGATAAGAAAACAGACCCTCAGAGTCTGTTCCCACAGGTGGTAAATGCTGAAGTTGGGATTCAAATCAAAGACCATTCTCTTTTTCATATGGCAGTATGCTGTCGGTGGTCTCCCTAACATCCATTATTTATCCCCTCCACTTCTCTTTCCTAAGAGAACCTCAACTATATTTAGTTATTTACCACTCCACAAAAAAAAAGCTTACGTGGGCCAAAGGATGATGACAACTTTTGGGGGACAGATAGGAAGATTGATTAATCTAAACTAATCACAGTCATCCTTTATGCTTGCCAGTGATTGATTTAAGAGCCTGGGCTTACACCAGCCAATACATGACACTCTCCCGGTGACCACCTTAGGTCTAGGATGATATAAGTGGGCACGATAAGACTGAAGGAAGGATCATCGATTCCATGTTTTGGGGGCGGGGGAGTACATTTGTCTTTTTTGCTTGCTGGAAACAAACTAGTAGGTGCACTGCTGTTGGCAGTCTTTGTGTGATTCTAGGGAAAGCTGATTATTCTGATACCAAGTGTTGTGACATCAACTGGTACTGCAATCCAATTCCCCAGACACAATGCAAATCCCACCTGCAGTTAGTGCAGACTCTACAAACTAAAGACCATGGTCCCCAACAAGACTGCCCGCTTCAGACGTCAGCTGCAAGTGAGGTCTCAACCACATGTACTTCTGACCAACTGGCCACAAATCTCTGGTGTTCCCACAACACCCCCCGCCCCAGGTTCAACAATTTGTTAGAATTACTCATAGAACTCAGCAAAGCATTATACTATGATTACAATTCTATTACAAAGGCTATAAATCAGGATCATAGGACAAGGTCTGGGAAGGTCCTTAACAGGGAGTATCTGTGTCCTCTCCCCAGGGCACATCACCCTCCCAGCATTTCAGGAAGCTCTGCTGAATTTGAACTTTAGTATCAAGGGTTTTTATTAGGATTTCATTACGTAGGTGTGATTGATTAAACACTGACTACATGATTGAACTCAATCTCTAGCTCCCCTCCCCTCCATGGAGGCAGGGGTGGCTCAAAACAGCAACCCTCTAATCACAAGGTTGGTCTTTCTGGAGACCAGCACTATCCTGAGGCATCTCATTAGCATCAACTCAGGTTGAATTCAAGGGGCCCATGAAAAACAAAGACACTCCTTATCACTCAGGAGAGAGTTTTGAAAGCTCTGTGCCAAGAACCTAGGTCAGAGGCCAGGTACAATCTTTATTCTACAAACCTTCAGACAAACCTCTTGGAGGAAAGTACCTCTTGTCTGACCTTCAGACAAACCTCACAGAAGAAAGTACTGGTAGGAGAACAGGAGAGAAACAAAGCTGGAGGCCTGTAAACCACTCCTGGAGCTCACTCTACTTTTGACGCTCTGATATATGGGATAGTGCCTATCCTCACTGGTTAAGCCAGTTTCAGTGTTTTTGTCACTTGCAGCTAATTAATCTTATAGTTGTTACTGTGCTTTGAGCTGCAGGAAACAAAAAACCCAACTAAAAGTAACTTAAGTAACCATAACTTTTTTTTTTTTTAGCTGAGCCATCCTGCCACACATCAGCAGCAGCTCAGCTCAGGCCGGACATTAAACCGCTGTTGCTCAAAGCTCGTACTCTTGAGTGAGCTCTTAACCAACTGAGCCACTTCGCTGGCCCCAAACAACGA